CTCCGAACTCCGTGTATCCTAAACTACACAAAAATCATCAAAACAGCCGTGGTGGGGATCCAACGTTTCTGTCACAAGATCTTCCACATTTTTTAGAGGTGGAACGTAACTGCTGTCTTCAAGTTGCTATAAAAACGCGCATTCTTTACTTATTGGTTGCGTCCATCGTTCACTATAAGGCGGCTAACACTTCTTCTTTGTCTCTGACAGGCACTTCATACCCCCAGCCGATCTAAACTTTAAGTATAAGCTACTCGCGAGAGGCTTCACTTTCCCAGAATTTCGTTGGCTTCCAATTTCCAACCGTGGTGAGTTCGAGGGCACTTTTGAAGCCGAAATCGTGCCAGTTTTTCCAAAGCGCAATTATCCTTCGACTGACTACCGTAAAATGTACTTGGTAGTGTCAGTGTTCATAAAACTTATAATTATTCCTTCATCTGTCCAGTTTTGGAAATTTTTCTGTAGACGTTTGATAATTCCGTTTTCCGGTTTCTCGATGTGTTTCTCATCCTTGTAAGAAATGGGGATTTCAAGGGTGCAAGACCTACATACCCTAAAAACCTGCATTTAGACGAAATGTCGGCTTGTAGGATAAGGTTGCCGTTTTCCGACTGGAGGATCGAACATAATCGATCTAATATTCTGTACAGATCTTTTACCTTTGTCACAGTCGTCTCCACGTCAACCCGAAATTTCTGAACAAGACATGGTTTTTAATGTACTGTATCTCGAGGATAATGGGTACTTTAGCTATGCAATTCAGCCCCTTCTTCGAATTTTGAATAAAACTTTCAACAAATTCTCAGACGCAAGTGAATTTTCCCGGCTGGACTTATTTTTTTCCGTGGTTCGGACGTGAATTTTTGCCCTACTGGACTTTACTAAATTTCCAGTCCACTCATCTCTCATGACAATATCCGTCAATGGACATTAATTCTAGTGATGTCCTTCTTCATTTATCCTACAAAAATATAAAGCGAAATAGAAGCGAACAGAAGAATCCCAGGAAGCGATCATAAAGAAGGAGACACGATCGCTGGGACAAGAGTTCCTGTCGCAGCGATCGTGTCACATTCTTCAATAAAGCGTATTGCTATAGTACGTTAAGGCACCTGTAAACTTACGCACAGCATCCACTAACATCTCTACTCACGCCGGCATCTCGTGGCTTCTTTGTTCCTTATCATTTAACTGGCGCATATAGCTCGTGGACAATATCCGTATATGTCAGGTGTACGCCCTGTATATAATACATGGTCGACACCCATTCTATCATAGCGTCTTTCTTTCGTCTTTCTGCTCAACGATTTTTGTTTGAATCTATCCATGCCCTTTCTTTGATTGCTCGTATTATTGACCGAGACTGGTTAACTAACGATACTGTCCCAACTTCTCAACCATTATTACAGCCGTATTTTACTCTAACCTGAAACGCGCCAACTATCCAACTTAATCATCTGACCTTTCGTCGGCGTAGCCTAGCCATGGTCAACAAACCTACCAGCTAGCCGATCACCAGTATTCGCATTATCCACCTCCTCGTCGTGCGGCTCAATTATATTGTGCTGCGGCCGCGCACACTGGACTGACATTTTGCCTTGCGACAAATCACAAGAAAGGAAACAAATATCTATCATGTCGTGACCGATTTGCCAGTGGGTGTTGCTACTGATCTACAGAATATTCATTGATATTCTGGCAGATTTTAAATAATTCATATTGACCCAACTGTGAAAAACTCGGCGCCTCGGTGGGATTCGAACCCACGCAGTAAGGGGGAAGGCTTTAGTACAGCCAACGCTCTAACCACCTGAGCTACGAGGCCCCGCCGGATGTGAGCCTAGTAGTCATCTGGTGGATTCTAGGTGAATTACTTAGGAAATCCTGCTTGGTCAGTCAACTTACTGTATCAGATTTGGTGGATTCTAGACGTTGCACTAGGTTGGGCGGGTAACTTGACCCAAGTGTGATAAACCTCGCGTCGTCCGGCGGGGCCTCGTAGCTCAGGTGGTTAAAGCATTGGCTGTAATAAAGCCTTCCCCCTTACTGCGTGGGTTCGAGTCCCACCGAGGCGCCGAGTTTACCACAGTTGGGTCAATAGGAACTACAGAATATTATAGAAAGTGCACCAACAAGAAGCCCCGTATACTGCTTTAAGGGAGGACCTCATCATCCACGTCTACCTACAAACTCAAAACGCACTAAATGTTTAATTTTCGAGGGAGGTCTTGGGGATGGGAAGCTGCACAGCTTCCTGTGCACCTATAACATCTAACAAACAGAAAGATTCTTGATGCCACAGTGTTTAAGCTGTTTTTCTTCCAGGAGCTACCATCTCTCGTGCATTTTCTCCTTGCGACGAACATCCTCTCCACGTATGCTCGAATGCCCGCGGAGACTGCTGTTCCACCCTTGAGTAATAAGAGCCATCAGTTGTAGTCAGTGCCTCTGGTCCTACCATAGTCGTTTCAGTTCCGAGTGCCATCGAGGACATTATCGAATGTCTAGTTATACAGCCTTGTATTACTCACGTTGCTCACCGTCGAAGTTCTTTTGTAACCCGTCTCTCGAAGTCTCCCAACGCAGCTTCAGGCCCGGTCGCATATTTTTTCCGAATAACTCGCTATCAGAATGCTCCATCATAAAGGACCTAAGTTTAAATTATACCAATTAGCCTACTTTATCATCTCATGCAGTTTATAGGTAGATGTGGATAATGAGGTCCTCCCCTAAAGCAGTAGACGGGGCTCCTGTTGGTGCACTTTCTATAATATTCTGTAGATCAGTAGCAACATTCACTGGCAAATCGGCCACGACATGATGGATATTTGTTTCCTCTCTTGTGATTTGCCGCAAGGCACAATGCCAGTCCAGTGTGCGCAGCCACAGTATAATATAATTGAGCCAGTTGTCTTTTTCTCGAGAACCACCCAAACTGCACAAGGACATCATGGTCTGTATTTGCTTATCGGGAGTTTTTTCACTGTTAGCCCTATCCGTGCTTTGTCCTTCTTTGACAAATTTTGCAAAACAGCATCAAACACTTTTATTATTATTCTTATGTTTGGTAGTGGTGGTAGTAGTAGTAATAGTAGTAGTAGTAACAATAGTAGTAGTAGTATTAGTATTAGTTTTATTATTATTAGTAGTAGTAGTAGTAGTAGCAGTAGTAGTAGTAGTAGTAGTAGTAGTAGTAGTAGTAGTAGTAGTAATAGTGATAGGAGTAGTAGTAGTAGTGATAGGAGTAGTAGTAGTAGTGATAGGAGTAGTAGTAGAAGTGGTAGTAGCAGTATTAATAGCAGTATTAAGTCAGTTAAGTCCGTTTAAGGGAATGAGGCTTTCGCCCTTGAGCTCCCTATTCATATCGATAAACAGAAATAAAGACACCAATTACACCAGCAAATGCGAAAATTCAAAACTTAGCGGTAAGTGTGAACCAGGCGCAAACTGCCGCCGCTAAAATAATCGTGATTATATGTACAGTGGTTTCTCAACAAATGAGCATCTAGTCTACACTTAAAGGATTCGACACTTTCGGAAAAAACCACCGCATGAGGGGGTCCGTTCCATGCCCCAATAGCCCTGTGGGAGGTGTTCCGTCGGACGTCCGAATGAGCCAGCTTCCTCTGCAGTTTTAAGGGATGACCACGCAAATGGCCAGTCCCGGTCAATTGGAAGAATTCATCAAAGTATAGGGCACATCCACGGCCTCTGACAATCCTGTAGGTTTGAATGAGATCGCCGCGCAGTTGCCTGTAATTTAAAGGAAACAGATTTAGTTCGGTCAGCCTGGTTTAATAAGGCAGATGATGAAGATTCTTGACCATCTTCGTAACCATCGCCTGTACTCTTTCCAGTCGTTGATAATCTTTCTTAAACCACGGTCGTCAAGCCTGGACTGCATACTCTAAGTGAGACAGGACGAATGCCCCATAGTAGTAGTAGTAGTAGTAGTAGTAGTAGTAGTAGTAGTAGTAGTAGTAGTAGTAGTAGTAGTAGTAGTAGTAGTAAAATGGAGAAAAACACAATCACTAAATCACTTATCCGTTGACGGGTAAAACAAATGAGAGCTGAATGGGTTGAAAGCCTCATATATTCCAGTGGTTCATAAATTCTCATCTAGGTCGAGGCGCGCAGCTCAATTTCAACGATAAATGAAGTGTTGGGAGCGCCAGCACTCCCAAAAACAAGAGCCAACCAATCACTGGAGGCCACGTGCGCTTGCTCTCTCTACAGCGCTGTCATCTTAATGGTGGCGCCTCTCTACTGACTACTCCCCTCTTCCAGAAGGTCGTGATGTCTTTGTCTGCTGCTTTGGTATTGGGGACAATGGTCGAGTGCGTATACGTTTCACGGGATTTCAAGTGCCAGACGGGTCATAACAAACTGGCGACGCAGTTTTTCAACTACAATGTCTTACGAGTACGCCGACTTGAAGCAGATGTTGCAGCAGCAGCTAAAGCTGATGGAGACAATCACCGTTAAGCTATCTAACTCGTCCATGGGTTCATCAAGCGCGGCTGGTGGTTCGCAATCTGTTGATCACACTGCCCGCATCATCACTGAATTCTTTTATGACCCGCTGGCTATATCACCTTTGATTCCTGGTACAAACGATACGAGGACACGTTCTCTGTCGATCTGGCCGCCCAGGACGATGCATGGGCTTCTACTTCTCAAACGAAGGCCGGCTGAACACAAGCGTTAGGCCAACTTCATCGTCCCCAAGAATCCCCGAGAAGTCCCTTTCAAGGACACGGTTCAGACGTTATCACGGATTTTTGGTGAGCAATCATTTCTTTTTAAACACTCGATTTCAGTGCTTGCAACTGTGCAAACGAGATTCCAATGAGTTGATCATGAATGTGGGTATTGTCAATCGTGAGTGTGGGCGATTTCAATGCGATTCTCTTACTGGAGACCAGTTTAAATGCCTTATATTTTTCTGTGGCCTCCAGTGCTCCAAAAATGCTGATATACGGACATGTCTCCTGTCCAAAATGCTGCAGAATAACTCAATCACACTCCAAGAGCTGGCAGCAGAGTGCCAAACGCTGCTGAACCTCAAGCTCGACTCCGCCATCATTCAGAACCCTGCCACATCTTGCACAGTCCATACGGACACATCGACCAAATCGCATCCCGTTACGCGGCCCAAGCAGGTGTCCAAGGCGAGATCTCCATCTTCTCCCGGGGCGAGGCTGCTGCCTAATGGACAGAGTAAGGACGACATTGTCTCCCGAATCGATGCTGCCGGCTGGGTTTTTTTAAGCCTTCGGAAATGCCTGTGGAACCGACGTGACCTCTCCATCGTGACTGACCGTGCATCTGTCCGGTCTGCCCTTCTCTATGGTTGTGAATGCTGGGCTTTCCGCGTGGAGGATGGGCGAAAACTGTAGGTATTTGACCACCACTGCTTGATGATCATCCTTCGAGTGAAGTTAACCGACTTCGTCTCAAATGAGATAGTCCGCGCTCGCTGCGGCAACATCGCAAGGATAACTCAGGCCATCCAAGAAAGACGACTGAGGTGGTTTGGGCATGTTCTTCGTCGTCCACCTCAGGAGCTCAGTGTTACTGCCCTCGATCCGGCACCGTTGCCCCATTGGAGGCGTCGAAGAGGGGGTCAGTTCGAAACCTGACTCGACACTGTCCGTCAAGACATGGAGGTGGTTCTTGGACCTTCGGTATTCGGTCTCCGTCGTTGGCGAAGGGAATGGGTTGAGCTGTCTAGATCTGCTGCCGCGGATCGTCACACGTGGAGAGGTACAGTTCGTGACATCATCGAGGCCGGCTAGATCAGGCATGATCGCAGCCATATAAAGTACAAGTTCAAGTATCTCCTTGCCAGCACTGTGGCGCATGGCATTTCCACCGGCATTGCACTTTCCGCCAACATCGCTGCCAGAGTCGTAATCACATGGGACACCGTGATTGGTTCTGCAAATCAATATCAGCTTCTGGAAGCAAGCCAGTTTCTAGTTTCAGGCACCATTACCGGTCAAAGCGCAAGCCCAAACCCCAGTCCGTTGATAATTCTCTGTCTTTTGGCCACTTCCCAGCTAAACGCGGCCGGTCGCAGAAAGTGTTTTAACGTTTTGCTCAATGCAGTTCGCCTACAGTTGGACACGGCCTCTGACATCACCATCATCTCTGAGAGACTCTGGCAGTCCCTTGGCGGTCCCATGATGCAGTAGACATCCCAGTACGCCACAAGCGCGTGTGGTGGTCTCGTACAGCTGATTGGGCAACTGCGAAGGTTTGTCCCGTTCCGCTATACCAGCATCACTGCGATCTCCTACATCACCAAGCCTGATCTCAACCTACTTTGTCTCGACTGGATTGCACAACTCGGTTTGGCCGATATGCCGCTCCGTGTTGTTTTTAGTCAGGTGCAGATTCCTGTTGTGCTCACAGACCGAGCCAACGACATTCTCCAGCGGTTTGCTCCAATATTCTAAGATGGCCTGGGTCGTTGCACATACACTCAAGCCGTGCTGCATCTTTCTCCTGAAAGTCAACCAGTCTTTCGTCCAAAGCGACCAGTCCCATATGCAGCCCTACCACTTATCGAGGTTGAACTGAGGCGTCTGGAGGAACTGGGAATTCTAGTTCCTGTATCCTACTCCGCCTGGGTCGCTCCAGTCGTTGTGGTTAAGAAGACGCAGTGTTCGATTTGCATTTGTGCTGACTTCTCCGCCGGACTCAATGCCGCGCTGACGCCGAACTGCCATCCACTGCCGGTTCCTGCTGATCTTTTCACCCTGCTGAATGGTGGCACTTGCTTTGCCAAGTTGGATCTCGGTGATGCGTATTTGCAGATCGTGGTCGCCACAGAGTCGCGCGAATTATTGACCATCAGCACCCACCTCGGTCTGTTCCAATAGAACTGGCTACCCTTTGGTGTCAAGACTGCCCCGGCCCTATTCTAACAAACGATAAACGCAATGCTCTCCGGCATCCCTGGCACAGCTGGGCACCCGGACGACATAATCATCGTGGGTCGTTCCTCTGCCGAGCTGCAAGACCGAGTGTGCACATTGCTCGAACGTGTGCAGAAATATAGCTTTTGTCTGCAGGCTGACAAGTGCCAATTCTTCCTCGGCTTCATCAAGTACCTCGGATTCGTTTTTGACGTCACCGGTCGTCATCCAGATCCTGAAAATATTCGGGCCATCCAACGGATGCCTGCACCCAAGAATGTATCGTAACTTCGTTCGTTCCTTGGCCTGATCAGCTACTATAGCGCCTTCCTACCATCGTTGCATGACGAACGGGCCCCGCTCAATGCCTCCTGGTGCTGGCCCCCCAACTGCGAAAAGGCCTTCGCCCAACTAGAGTCGATGCTGAGTTCAGATCTGCTGCTCACGCATTACGACCCAACATTACCGATCGCTGTTGCTGCAGATTGTTCTAAACACGGAGTTGGTGCCGCCATATAACATACTTTTCCTGATGGGTCTGAAAAGGCGATCATGCATGCACCTCGTACGCTAACCCCCGCAGAGGAGAACTACGGGCAAATAGAGGAAGATGCTTTAGCCCTCGTGTTTGCCGTCAAGAACTTCCACAAACTGTTGTACGATCGTCACTTCGTGTTGTTGACGAATCACAAACCATTGCTTTAAATCTTCGGTTCGAAGAGGGGCATTCCCGTTTACTCAGCCAGCCGACTTCAGCGATTGGCAACCATCCTTCTTGGCTACGATTTCGACATTCGCTACTGTCGTACTACATTGACTATTCCCCTCTTCCCGAAGGTCATTGGGCCGAATGCCGGCGAACCACAGTAGGCTGTTATAAATATGCATTACCTTTCAGCTAGTCGCGACTTGCAGTGTTTTTCTAATACACCTTCCGTGACCGGCCGTGTTTTCTTTGTCTGCCGCTTCGGTATTGGGGACAAGGGTCAAGTGCGTATACACTCCATGAAATTTCAAGTACCAGGCGGGTCATAACATGAAGCTTTGCCTACACTTTGATGTTCTTAAGCAATTAATGCCAATTTTATAATTGGATCCTTTTCATTGAGTCGCTTTTTATTTCCGGGTATAATTTCTCCCAGTATTGTTTGACAGCCTGGTAAATTAGCCGTATTTCGTTAAGCGCCCCTTAGTGACTCCGCGTCAGCCCGTCTCCTTCTAGTTTTTTGTAGTAAACTAACAAGTATTTGCTACTCTGTGCGTTTTGTTGTGCGTTAGCAACGTTTCAATCCTTGTACTGCAACGGAAAACCTATATAGTACCCTATAATGCCTCGAAGAACACATGCCAAAGACGAAACCTTGCGACCCCCACCGTCTCTCAGTGTTAGAATTGTGGCCGGAGACTCAGCATGTGCCAGCATGCGTTCGCTGCCTTCTCCGGATATGATTGACTGAAAAATACCTTTGGTCCACTTTGAACCTCTTGACCCCTTAATCGTCCAAAAGTACGTCTCTGCTAGTCGTAACAGAACATTAGCCGACGAAATACTCGATCCGTCGATATATGGCGACACCTCTGAAAAAGTCAATGAAAAAACGTTGAAAGTTATTGCAGTAATAAGCTCTGAAGCCGAGGAGAGAATAAGACGCAGACACAGTTTTGTACAGCAAAACAGTCCGTGTAACGTATCTGCTATAGAGGGAGCGCATTTGTTCCTTCCTTGTCGTGGCTTGGGTTTCAGTGCCGCACAGGCTAAACAACTATGCTCGCTCAGCCGTAATGCGCCGGTACTGGTTACCCTTTTCTTCTTGATAAAAGTGGACTTTATCTTGTCGAGAAGGGAGATAACTAGATAATTCTGCCGTAAATGGCACTGCTCAATTTCGTTGGACCTCACACCAATGCAGCGAAGGCAGAACAGATTGAAATTGTTAAAAACCAACACCGACATAATGACACCTGTTGTCAGTTTGAATAAGTCCTCTTCTTCATCATTGGCGGTCTCTGCACGCCACGGCATAGTCCAATCCGTAGGAAATTTGACTACTCTTGATGCTGAGATCTTTAAATGCACAAAAACGCCTGGTATAAAAACGCCCCTGCCGACTTCCACAGCAACCCTCGCAGGCCTAGGCATGTGCTTAAGATAAAGGCGAATCCAAGTCCCGTTTCAGCCACTCGAAGGCCCGGCAAATCCAACTCCATTAAGAAATATTTTCCTCCACAATTGCCTAATATTGCATCAAACACCACGAACTAAAGCATAGCGTGTTTCTAACTACCTCCATAAACTTATATGGAGGCAGTTAGGCCAAATACGCCGATACTTCTGCTTTTAAATATAATTCCTGCTCCTATGGGAGCAGTGCATCCCCTACCCCTAATCATTTTTCACCCACAGCCGTTTTTCCAAAGCATTCCTCATGCTAATGTCCATATTGGGTCAGTTAACGCATTCACTCCTCAGTTTCGCTCCGCCGAGAATACGTTACAGTATCCGGCCCGTGGATTTCCAGCTGAAAATGAGCTAGCTGACGATAGTCACCAGCTTCTCTGCCCGTCATTTCCTCCCCCAAGTCTTAGGCCTTTTTATTCGCGTCAGAATCTTTTCATGCCACAAAATACTTTAGAGAACCGATTGGGTGCATCCGGACCGTGTGTTCCGTGAGCAGCCAAGCACTGGACGACGTAGCCCACTTCCCTCAGAAACAAACAACCTTTCCCCTCAAACTTGTTATTCTAAATGCCAGATCCCTGCTAAATAAGATGCCGTTGCTTTAGACTCTGGCGTTCGTCCATTGCCCAGACATTGTTTGCATAACTGAGACACAGGCATCAGCTTTCGTAGCTGATTCCGAACTCTCTCTCTATCTCTTAGCTAGGCTAAACTTGCATTTGAAATGATCGTCAAGACAGTTATGATGGCGAAGCTTCATCTACATTAAGCAAACGCCTACATTTCTGCCGCTGGACCTCCCGCATTTTTCCGCTGTAGGAGGCAGCTGCGGGCTCCAGGTTGCATTAAAACATAAGTTCTCCTTACTCGTTGGCTATTTCAATCACCCTCCCAACGCCAATGAGAATTTTGATCATTTACTCACACTGGCATTTCATGCTGAGACAGACTTAAGCTTTAAGCATCAGTTAGTTGCGCGTGACTTCAATCTTCCTGAAGTCCACTGGTCTACGCATTCCGGCACCAGAATGTTAGAGGACTTTCTCGAGACTGTGACTGTTAGGATGCGGACTCAGGTTGCCGATTTTCTACCCGAGGATCAAGCACGCTTGATCTTTTTTTTCTGTAGAAGTTCCATGTCTTTATCAGTGTCATCCCTAGGTCCACTTGGGGGCTCAGACCATGACATCGTTGTTTCAACGTTAGAACTGGAAGCTGACAACATTTTGCCCTCAAAGTATAACTTCTTCGTCGACGGCCGACCAACACGCTCGACCGAATTATTGACACACCTTCATTCCTACGACTGGACTGATTTCTTCCTTAGTTCGGATGTAAATGTTTGCACTGCAAAACTGTACGAAATTTTGGATCCGCTTATTTCTCGTTTTGTCCCCCGTAAGAAAATAATCAAAGTTGGGATTGAGGTTTTCCCACCCTTAACTTTTCGCCGCAGGTTGCGCAGACTTCCTCATCCAGTTCATCTTCAGAATGATGTTTCCACTCAGCCCTTGATTTATGATATTTTTGAGTGTTTAAAAGATTGATCAAAGAAAAGCGTCTGGCGGAAGAGATACGCTTCTCCGAAAACCTCTCTCTAAACTTCGCGAAATTTTCTTCTCGACAGTTTCAATGCTTTTTGTCCAAAACGTTTATCGAACACTCAGCCGTTCCACTTCCGACCATCCAGGCTTGGACCAGGACGGTTCTCGAAACTATAACTTTCACTCTGTGGAATGTGACTGTTGCGATTCAGCATTTTGGTCAATCTCGTAGTCCGGGACCTGATGGTGACCCAGTTAGCATTCTAAAAGCGGATGCAAATGTACTTTTCCCATCCGTCTTATATAAGATATTTAATCTCGCCTTTGAAGGTGAAACCTTTCCTACTTGTTGAAGGAATCACACATTTTGCCCATTCCCAAGCATGGTCAATCTAAGTCATTTGGTGACTTTCGGACAATAAACACCTTTTCCGCAGTTTCGAAGATTTTATAGACAGTGACAAAAGAAAAGGTGATGTGTCACTTAACAGGGAATAACCTACCGAACGCTGCACGGCATGGATTGCTCACAGCTTCGGGTGCTGAAGTCACTGATCGACTATATCGTAGCTGTGGTCCTCTTTTATCCCTGCTTTACATAAAAGATATCTCGACGGCAGTTAAAAATTCTCAATCATTTATTTATGCCGATGATCTCAAATGTGTATATTCATTCATTAAATCTACGACCCTTCATTGCCTGGAGCAAATCCATGCTGACTTGCTTGCTCTCTCCGCTTGGGGCTCAAAAATGACTAATGGGATTCTCTCCGTCTAAATGTCGTTATATGTGTTTTGGACCTGAAAGGCTACCTAAACCAGTGGCCTTTAAAGACACACCTATGACTGAATGTACCACCATCAACGATTTAGGTTTAAGCTACACCAACACTCTAGATCTCTCGCCACACGCTAACAGAATTACGGCCATAGCTGCCCAGATTTGTGGCTTTATTTCTTACAATTTTTATCTTCCCAAAATCAAATTAGGACTTTATCGTAAGTTTGTACTTCTCATTCTCGAGTATTGTTGCCCATTCTTTGGTTTGATGAACGAAGCTTGTCATTAAAAAACTGACAATGTTCAAAGACTTTTTACTAGAAGACTCTTTGGCAGGGAACATCCAAATATCTTCTACTCAGGTAGATGTCAGAAAACTTACCCAAAATTTTTATGGATTCGAGACAGGAAGCAGGCTTCTCTCTCCTTCTCGCATTACTTACAGTTCAAATCTTCCTCG